GCCGCGGCCGCACTTCCCTGGCGACTCGCGGCGGCGGCGACCGGGCCGCCCACCATGGAGCCCGTGACCAAGTGGAGCCCCAAGCAAGTGGTGGACTGGACGAGAGGTGAGCGGGCCGGGCCCCGGCGCCTTCACCCCGGGGTGGGAGTCCCCGGAGCTGGTGGGGCGGGGGTCCCCAGCCCCTCTTGCAGGCCAGCTGCGGGGGGCGCACATTGCGGTGACGACGCAAACTTCTTCCGAGTGGCCTGTGCGCCCTCGCCGTCGCGCTGCTTCGGGGGTGCTGCGTGTGGCAAGCCAGGAGAAGTTGCTTCTTTGAGCCGAGGAGCCCGAGGGGTGCCTTTCTGTGGAGGTGGGGGCACCCTCTGCCTGACCTGGGTGCCGGGCCCCGGCTCCGGTCCTGGGGCGCAGAGGCACAAGGCGCCTTTGTGTGGGTGACCCCCCTCGGACCTCAGAAACGCTGCCTGCCCACAGCCATCTGCGGGCGAGACGGGGCGGTTGGACAGGTAGAGGGAGACGCCGCGGCTCCCGGACCCTCTCTGTTTTTGTTGGAAAAAGCCGAGAGGGCAGCGCCCGAGCCAGCGGCGAGGCATCGGCGCCCGCCAAGAGCCCGGAGCTCAACTCCGCGGGACTCGGCGACTCTTACCCCAGGAAGGCGCCAGTTCCCCCGTGGGAAGGGAAATCTAACTGTTCTGAACCACTGTCTTGGGGATGAGGAAAAGACACGAGGCAGAGCCTTGAGCTCCGACTGTCACACTGACTTTTCAGCACCTCTCCAAATAGGGAGAGGTGGCCGAGGCTCTCCAAACCCTCCACGACAGTGGGGTCTGCCGAGAACAACCGGTATTCTCAGGCGGTCCTCGCCCACTCTGTTTCCAGTTACGTTTGATTTTTCTTCTGCTCATCCAGATTATGCTCAATAATAACAGAACTGTATAGCTGACAGCACGCCAAGGACCCTCTCTCTTGCCTTTGGCCACTGCAGTTAGCCAGTGAGGTAGATAATACTGGTAAGATCAGGCCATCTTTCAAACTGTCTCCCGGCCTGGGGCATCATGAAAACTGATCGTGGGCATCTCATTTCTTGCCTGTTGGAGGAGCGTAAGTGGGTGGGGCATAGGGATTCTGGGTTGTATGTGATGGTCACTGGGATAGCTGACCTTTTCTCAGTCAGGAGGGGTTGGGGGATACACTTTTCCCTAAGGAGTTTGTCTCAGAACTAAAATGTAGTTGTAAACAGCAAATGTTTGTACATGGGTGATGAGAATTGCCCAGGTAGAGTAAATTGCATTATTCCCGTTTGGCATGAAATGTTAACTTGAAAAGTGTAAGTGCCCTACCCGGTTTTGAAATGGGATGAGCTCCTCGTCTGGCAGCTTGCCCAGACTAAGCTGGTTAATCCCTTTTACCTGTATGTCCATCACAGAGGCTGTTTCAGAAGCTGATGACCTCAGCAGTTTTTGACAAGGAGAGTTGCTCTTGTCCAGTGCGGTAGCCAGGAGCCTTAGGTGGCTCTTACACCCTCCCAATATGGCTGTTGGGAATGGTGACACGCTGTGAGTGTCCAGTACACATGTAGGTGAAGACTTGGAAGAAAAGAATTAAGCGATTGCACTCATTTTTCATACTTACTACATTTTGAAATGCGAGTCTTTCGGTCACGTTGGGTTAATACATTATTACTAAAATGAACTTCACCCGTTATTTTTACCTTCTTAAATATGGCTCCCCAAAATGGAAAATTGGAGTCATGGTTCATGTTTGTGGCTTGCTGTGGTCCCACTGGATAGGACTCTCCAGCCCAGAGAAAGGTTTAGGTGGATCCCACTTTGACTTCCCCGAGGCTCTGCCAGCCTACTTGATGATGTACAGCCAGAAAAATGGTAACAGGCACACAGAAGATTAGGGAGTGAGATCTTCACACCCTCAGGAGTTGTTTTTTTTTTTTTGTTCCTTTTGGAATTGGGAGAAGGGAAGTGTCAATGCACCTCCTGTTTTGTTTGTTGGCATTTAAAGGAAGAGCAGATTAAGATGTTTTTGGTATCCAGTTGCTTTGGAGTATTATGATTCAGTTGAGCTGCTTTCCTCTAGGGAACTTGCCTGCCGCCCTGAGAGCCCCTCACCTTGGTGGTTCACTATCTTGTGCTGAAGCTGCGGACACTGGCTAGCACTTGGCAACTCTAGGCACAGTGCTGTGCTCTTTGGGACCCTACGCACAGCCTCCTTGAATGACCTGGATATTTTCTGTGTTGAAATCTAACAAAGATAAAATGCGTGGCTAGCTCTTAGATGGCAAGAGGCGGGACTCTGCCATATGGCATGGCACGTTACCGGAGTATTCTCATTGTAATTGGACAGTATTGACTTTTTAATAAACGATGGACTTACGCAAGCTGGTTCGCTTATAGGGCTATTTTTAGCTCTCTGCTAACCTCCGTACCGAAATCCTACTTTATAAATACTTCCTACTGATAAGCTGCTCTTCATAGACTTTGCCACTCTAGTGTGGGGCGGTGATCATGAGCAGTGCTGTGAGCCTCAGGCTGAGAACTGCCCGATGCTGGCCGTGACCTGCAATCTGCCCTCCTGTTGCTATGATGAGGCAGAGGCAGCCTTAGGAAGAAGGTTGATGTCTACACAACAGATTCATCTGACTTTTCAGGTTATTATCCCTCATTATCATAGCTCACTTGCATTCATCTCAAGGCAATGATGTCACTCCTTTGGTCATATTAGCAGATCCTCAGTTCATGCTAACAAGGTGGCAGGCGCATTTCATACATGTTGTTCTATTTACAGTGCATAACGCCCTTTGAAATAAGAGCAGTTATTCCCACTTTGCAGTGGAGGAAACTGAGGCACAGACAGGTTAAGTGCTGTGATGGGGTGGTAACTGACACAGCAGTGTGCGGGCCAGGGGGTTTGGCTTCACTCCACCCCATCCTCCTGGGACCTTGCCTGCAACTGTCAGAATCGTTTCCCAGGAGTCGAGTGCACATTTGTGATTCCCCTGGTGTGAGCTCTTAAGACCTTCTGTTAGTGGAGGAGAGTTGTCCAGTTTATTGGTGCCTCCTACATATTTTCTGTCTATCGGGAAGGGAATTTGCTAACCAAATTCATTCCCAGGTCACGGCACGTTCAGATAATTCAGTTTGGTTTTTGCCAAGCAAATGATCTTCTACAACTGGAATCATATGACAGTAGGTCAGCTGACCCCAAGAGAAAACCCCTCTGGCTGTGGCGTCACCAGATCGGCGCTTCGATTTTCCCTTGTAACAGAAGGCCCGGGGTGGTGATTCAGGACCCCACCCAGGGCGTCTGCATGGTGCTACCAGAGGTCCCCGGGCCAGCCTGTGCCTTCCTCTTTAATCCTCAATGCAGGGTGCTCGATCCACAGCCAGGATCATGTTCTTCTTCGAGGTAGGGGTGAGGATGCCCGGCCGGCCAGACGCTGGCAGCCAGGTGCTCGCCATGGGCAAGGTGCTGACAAGTGCCAGCAGGAACCAGGCTTCTGCCAGGCCGCGTGACCACGTCATGTAGCAAGGGAGTCTGGTTACTGTAGTTTTATTTTTTTAACTTGGGTACATTACACCCTGAAAAAATGGGAGTTTGGAAGGAAGAAGGGGGGCGGCTATTGATGGGCAGCTGGTAGTTTCTGGCACAGTGACTTACATCTGGGGCTGCATGGCTCAGGCCTCAAAGTGGGACGCGTGGCCCCGTTTCCTCTTACGCCAGCCCGCGGCTCTGGCCTGGTTTAGAAAGCGTTAGCTCTTCATTCCTGTGACGTTTTCTTGGACAAAACCTGACCTTCCATGAGGTCTTTGTGTCTCAGCTTGATGTAAAGAGGCCGCCCGAGTCGTTTTTATGCTTTGGGAGACCACGGAGTATCTTACCCAAGGGCTACTCTGTCCTGGCAGCCCCTGTGTCCCCGGTCAGCCCGGAGCAGTGCCCTAACCCACGTGCTGGTGAAGGGGCACAGCTCCAGAGCCCGGTCTGCTCCGGGCACCCGCTCACCCTGGCCACATGGTGCTGCGGGCAGGGCAACACTTCCCCGCTGCCCACCACGACGGAAGGGCCTCTCTTGCGCACCTGGGCTGTTGCCTCAGGGCATGAGGCTATTCCCCGAGGGGACACGGCCCCAGGCTGGCCCTTCCCAGGTGACTGTTGCGGTGTGTCCTCCATGCAATGCACCTGGCCGGGGTCACGGAGGGGTTGCATTCGGAGAGCTGGTAGTGGCAGTGAGCTGGGGAGTGCCAGCCTATGCTGGGGCCCCTTCCTGGCCTGTTGTTTTGGGAACCCTGACTCTTGTTAGGTGATGCTTTCCCCTTCCACCCCTACGGTCATTGAGGGGGCGCTCCCTCCCCCTGGCAGCTGTAAGTCCACCACTGGGCCGTGGTTCAGAATGCTTCTTTGTAGTCCACTCCTTCCCGATTCTAGTTTATCTCCTGGACTCCAGCCATGGAATTTTCTTAATCATCATAATAGAAAAACCTTCATGGAAGAGGTTACAGTGTGTCAGACACTGCTAAGAGCTGTATTTAAACTCCCTCTTTCCATTCCTGAAGCTTCCATGAGGTGGGTGCACCCTTGTCAGCTGGTATTAAAGACGTGGGCACGAAAGCTGGGCATGCGTGTGCAGCTCTTACACACTGGCTGATCCTCCATCACTTCCGCACCCCAGGGCCTGTTCCAGGTAAGCTTGGGGGCCAGAGCTCGGCCCTGGAAGCCCGCTCCGCGTTTGAATCACAGTTCCACTCCCAGCGGCAGACACTTAGTACGTTACTGCTCGCTTTTATTGCTTCCCTTTCTTTTATCCTCTAGCTCCAGGACATAGTTAGTCTCTCTGGGCAGTCAGGTGAATCCCTGTCGATTGCTGTCATTCGGGGCAACAGTCAGTGCCGAAGCCATTTACCTACCACTCCGGACCTGGGGCTGGACCTGGAGCTCTTCAGGGAGGTCATGAAGCTCCGTGAGGGCTCCCTTTTGCCAATATCCTGAGCCTCCTCTGGATAAATAAGTTCAGTAATAAATGTGACTTTGACCTTAGGTTGCCGGGTAGACTTCCCGTGAGCGTGGATATCGGCACCGGCTCCTGCCATTGGCTCTGGC